TCTCTCTCTCTCATTCTCTCTCTCTCAAATAAATAAATAAAATCTTTAAAAAAAAAAAAAAAAGATGTTGTCTGACTTGCATGGTTTCTGATGAGAAGTGTGCTGTAGTTCTTAACGTTGTTCCTCTATATATGATGTGTCTTTCTCTGCCTTCGAGATTTCCTCTCTGTCTTTGGTTTTCAGCAGTTTGAATATGAGACCTCTAGGTGTGGTTTGTTGTTGACGTTTTTGTTTGTTTGCTTTTTAAATATGTGTGGAGGAGTCTTTGCCCTGCTTGGTGTTCTCTGAGATTCTTAGTGATTTGATGTCTTTCATTACTTTTGGAAAATTCTCAGTCATTATCTCTTTAAATATTTATTCAGACATGTGTCCGTCCCATTTCCCTCCAGGATTCTGATTAGTATGTTAGATCACTTGGGTGCTCTTGGCTGCTCTGTTCTGATTTCCCCCCGACTCTCCCTCTTCAGTTTGATTTCTACTGCTCTGTCTTCAAGTTTTGGTTATTTTTCCCCTCAACTGTGTCAGGTATGCTGAGAAGCTTGACAAAGGCATTCTTCGTCTCTGCTGTTGTGTCTTTTATTTACAGCATCTTTATTTGACTCTTGCTCATAGTTTCCATCTCACTCCCCAAACTCCCCCTCTGTTCATGCATGTGTCCACCTTTTCTACCAGAACCTTTAACATACTAATCACATTTATAAATCATATTCATCTTAGTTGTTTTTTTTAAAGTATATTTATTTAGTAATCTCTACACCCGATGTGGGGCTTGAACTCAACCCCAAAATCAAGAGTCGCATGCTCTTCCAACTGAGCCAGCCAGGTGACCCTGATCTTAGTTACTTTTCAATTTCCCATCAGGTAGTTCCAACATCTGGGTCACCTCTGAGCCTAGTTCTGTTGATAATTTTCTCTTTTGACAATGTTCTTTTGTGTGTGTGCACCTCATTTTTATATTGAATATCAGATATTATGTGTAGGACAGAAGAAACTGAAATAAGTTGTATTTATGCCTGGAATGGGCTTCTCTCTCCTGTTTCTAGGCTGTTAGGAGGGGGAGTTAGGCTAGTCAGAAGTTGAGCTGGGGTTGGGTTTTTTTGTTTTTAGTGTACCACTGGTTTCCAATGTCCATGATCTTACCTTATGCTTACAGCAGAGCTGATTTGCCAGAACGTTTTCTCAATGTTCCATCCCCACCTTCAGCCTTAGGCCTTTTGTGTACACCTCATGGAGGGTCCCTCTCCATGTTTTTGCCCCTTTTCCTGTGGTAGACTGCTTTGCCTGTTACTTGTGCTTGCTAGGCTGGCATAGGGGCAAGGCTGGTTCTCTGTTGTCTCTGTCCAGCCTCAGACTTAGGCAGACTGTGTCCCTGCATCTCAGGAGTGGGGCTTTTCTTCCCCTAGTGGAGGGAGACCTCAGATGTTTGGGCCCTAAATGGTATTTCCTGCCCCTCCCTCGGGAGGTGTTTCTTTTCCCTTCTCACAGCTGCAGTGGGTCCTCACCTGTACCCTGGAGGCAACAAGATTTGCTCTCTCTCCCCGGCTGGCTTAAGGGTTTTGTTCCCCAGGGCCAAAAGGTCCCATCAGCGCTTCCTTCCTTTCCTGTAGCAACAAACACGCCTCCTCTCCAGGCGTGCACCGCCGGAAGGTTTCCTTCAGTCTCTCTTCCTGCACTGCCCCTCATCTTTCTCATGAGCACATGTGGAGGTCCGAGGAGAGGAGCGAACACGTGGGTAGCAACCTCCCTTGTGTCTGTGTCTCCCAGGGATCGCGGCTCTCACTCTAGACTGCACTTGGCCTATAGCAACCAGCTAAAAAATGTCTGCAGGACTCTGACCTGCTTCAGTTGTTTATGCCTCTTGTCTCTGTGTGGTAGAAAAGCTATAGAATGGTGTACTACTGTGCATCTCTTTCCAGCTCCACCTTCAGCAAGATCATGTTGGCTGGTAGCCTGAAATTGGCCATGGTGGGAGTATTTACACCACAGGAATGAGTAAATGCTACAAACGCGGGTTTCCCCCCCACCCTGAGAGCCAATTGTTAACCATTTACCAGAACCCCACCATTTGGGGAAACCCCACAAGGTTGACCATGAAGATTGGTGCCTTTGGTGAGTGGCTTAGTGGCCTCCGGCACGGGTCGGGCTCAGCAGGGTCATAGTGGCTGTGCTCAGACCATCTGCTCTGCAGGGCAGTCACCAGGACACTCACCCTGGGGAGGCCTCTCCATGTTGGAGCTGGTGTAGATTCATGCTGCTGCCCTCTCTCCCTCCTTTTCCCTTCAGAGCGCAGCCAGGACAGCACGGCCGTGGCACTCTCAGACTCCAGCTCAACGCAGGACTTCTTTAATGAGCCTGCCAGCTCATTGGAGGGCTCCCGGAAGCTCTACATGGAGAAGAAGCTGCCCGTTCCCAGTTCCCAAGCAGGACCGACTGGTAAAGACCTTCAGGGGGCCACAGAGGAAAGAGGTATGAAGACGTAGCTCTGAGCGTTAGAACTGCTTTGGTGACGTGTGCCAGGCTAGGCAGTCTGAAGAACATGGGCTCCTGAGTGGCCCAGGCTGGGCCTGGCTCCTGTCCTCCCTCCTCCACCTGCTGCTCTGGGACCTCAGTTGGGCAAATTACGCATCTCTCTGGGCCTCTGTGCTCCCTGTAGGGTGGGAGCGATCCCGAGGCTCACTCCGGGGGTTGTGAGGATGAAACGAGGTGGCTCAGGAAGGTGCTCGCACGGTGCCTGGAGTACAGTGTGCACTCAGTGACACTTGTTGTTGTTGTGACCCCCGTGGCCCAGTGTGGGAAAGCCACGTCCGTGACGTGAGTGCCGTATTTTTTTTTCTTGCTACATAGTTATTAAAAAAGTCTTTGGATCCTAAATGTCACCAATGTGTTTTCTTTTTAGTCTGAATTACATCAGGCCTTTAGGAAAAAGTGCCCCTTTTTTGGGCAGGGGGCCCTGATCCAACCCCGGGGCATGCCCAGCTCTCATGGGGCCCCCAGGCCCCCTTTGTGGAAACCAGTGGGCAGAGCCCCACGCCCGGCTCACAGGAGAGCTCGGGCACGCTGCATGTCCGCGGTGCCGCTCTAGGGCTGCGGCTGGGCGGCTGGCCATGGGTTTTGAGAGCTCTCCCACCCTGGCCAGGGCTTGCCAAACAATAACAACAACAACAACAACCCAGACCCATGCTCAGCAGCCCTGTGCCAGGCGCTGTTTGAACTCCTTTTGTCCTCCCAGCCAACCTAGGAAACAGCCCCACGGCTCTTCCCATGTTACAGGTTAGGAACCTGAGATTCAGAAAGGGGCGGGAATTTGCCCAGGGTTAGTCTTCACTCTAAACCTCTGCCCCATTCCCCCTCTCTGGGTGGGCTGGGAGGGGCAGCTAGGGTTGGCAATGACCCCTCCCTAGGATGTGTCTGCACAGGCCCTGGCTGGGAGAGACGAGGCTCAGGGGTTCACGTGTAGATGTGGCCAGAGCCCTTCATGCTGGCGATGGCCTATCCCAGCCCTGTGTTCCTCGCCTGCCTCCCCTAGCTGGCCTTAGCAGCTGGTGAGGCTGCATGGCCTGCAGGTTGGCACAGGTGCCCCCATTAGGGTCAGGTAAGAGGACACGGAAGGTGAGGCCAGTGCCCCACTTTCCCACTAGGCACTTTTTATGCTGTCCCAAACCGATGTTGACATTCTACAACTGACATAAACACGCTGCAGGGAGTTTGGAAGGGAAAGGAAAAAGTTACCAATAGTGCCCACGCTCTAACACAGCAACTCTTGTTCATGTCCAGTCTTACCAATAAGATCATTTTAACTCTTGGACAGGTGGGGCCTGTTGTCTGTGCTCCGTGGGCCATCCAGCAGTGAACTGCTGTGGGTGCTGTTGTGTTGTCACAGGCCTCTCTCCACTGTGCTTGGGGAAGTGGGGGATGGAGGCTGGGGTGCTAAGCCAAGAGAGGGTCGGGTGTGGTCTGGCCCGGGCTGGACTGGGCCTTCCAGACACACAAGGGGCATCCCACCCTCCATTCAGAGCCAGTGGTTTAAGCGGACAGTGTGGGGGCTTGCCACCGGTAAAGAAAGTTCAAGTAGAACCAGAGTCACCGCAGTAGCTGGTGGGCTTGAAGGGAAGCATCTTACTTCTGTGGATGCATCTCTCTGCTCTAAGCCCAGCTTTTCCTCGTAACCACAGTGAAGTTGGTGAACTTCCTGTCGGGAGTGTAGGTGCAGCAGGGAATGTGTTCTGAGCCTGCACCAGGCAGACAGCACAGGGAGCAGTGGGTTCCTCTAGGCCTGGCTCTGGTCAGTGGTGGTCTCTGACACCCCCTCCTCCAGGCTCCCAAGGGGTGGGAACCCTGGCCACCAGGACTCCCGCAGCTTTCGGCCCCCTGCAGAAAACCAGGATATGGTTCTGGGCCAGGGTTGGGTGTGTGCCCCTAGTGTGCTCCACACCCCAGCCCTTCAGGTGCACCCTTGTGGGTGGCCCTGCCACCAGCCTGCTGCTTCTGTCACGGTCAGTGGCACAGGGCTCATCACAAATTTCATGGGCATTGTTGAGCTGCAGGGCGTAATGGAACCCAAGTCTGTGCCAGGCCGCGGGTGCCAAGGGGAAGTAAGATCGGCTCTGACAGCCGCGCCCTTCCAGGTGCCCTCTGTCCCACGGCGTCCAGTGGGCGCCGGCTCCCGAGGACTCGTCTCCCCTCTACTTCTCCACTCTGGTTTTTGACAGGGCGCCTCCAGGAAGGAGGTTTCTCCACAGGTGACTGTTACAGCTAGTTGAAGCTCACCTTCTTAGGGGTCAGAGCTTCAAAAAAATGTATATAATGTGAATGTAGCCACAGTAAAGGTTTATTCTTTTTAATAGAGGAAAAAGCTGCCCAGATTTTACTACCTAAACACAAGGGCACTCTGTTATATCACTCTGACGACAGCAGAGTTTGTCAACAGCTTGTGGTCCAGACAGTGGACACGGGTGCCTGGCCTGGGCCCTCCCTGCCACCTGGGCCCAGGGCAGGATGTGGGTCGAGGATGCTGATATGGCTACCAGGCACCTCGTTCAGGGACCGCCATCCCGTGGCTGCGCGCCTGCCCCTTGTTGGTCAAGTAGAGGCCTGATGACCATGCCTGAGTGCCATGCTCAAGACGGATTGGGTGGCAGTGGCTGGAGTGGGAGGTGGCCTAGTGCACCATGGGCATTCTAAGGCAGTCCTCTTTGCCAGCAGCAGGCACCAGGGTGGCCAGAGCATTTGCTTTGCTTGCTTTTTATCTTAGGAGGAAGTCTTCTCACTTTCACGCTGCCAGGGTTAGGATTGGGCCTCTTGGCTGGGAAGCGCTGTGTGGGCTTACTGACATTTCTGACCCCGTTTCTTCCACTGACGTGACCTGTGAGGCTCATTCAGCCCTAAGAGTGGATGCTGTGGGTGAGGCGTGTCACCCAAGAGGCCACGCAGATCCCAAAGCCACTAGGTTTTTTCACTTATTCTGGCGTCTCTGTTTTTTCCTATGTGTCTTCAGACATGTCTTCTGAGCTCTTTGGATTAATTCTTTTTATTTTTTTTAATTTTTAAAAAGATTTTATTTATTTATTTGACAGAGAGAGAGATAGCTAGAGCAAGAATACAAGCAGGGGGAGTGGGAGAGGGAGAAGCAGGCTTCCTGCCGAGCAGGGAGCCTGATGCGGGGCTCGATCCCAGGACCCTGGGATCATGACCTGAGCCGAAGGCAGACGCTTAACAACTGAGCCACCCAGGCGCCCCTCTTTGGATTAATTCTTGATCCTCTGCCCACTTTCCATAGGAAACCTGTTCCTGTGTGTCTTTGTGTGTGAGCACATGCTTAGCATCTTATTTGAACCCCTGGGAGGCCTGCATCTTCATCCTATTTACCTATCTCCCTTGTGCCTAGCACAGGGCTAGGCCCAGAGTGGTTGTTCAGAATGTGTTTGTTGAGCTATATTTGAAATGTGTCCCTTGAATTGAACACTAGTAATCGGGCACATTTGTGAGTAAGGCGCTGGTGTCCCCTGTAAGATGCTGGCCCTGAGCAGACTCCTGGTTGCAGTCATTGAGCTCTGAGTGGGTGCCTGTGGGACCTGCATGGTTTGCTGAGCTCCTCTGAAAGGAGAGCATAGTGTCAAGATCAGATGTGATCTGCTTTCCAGGCATTCAGTCAGCTTCAAGCTAGACCCTGTGCTAGGCTCTGGGCGATGGGGGAGAGGGAGGCATCCGTGCATAAATACAGTGGGATGGGTGATACCAAAAAGCTGGGCGCACAAGGCTTTCTGCAAACCGCACCCTGGGGCTGAGGAGGCCTGCAGGAGGAGGTGACACTGAGTGGAGTCCTGAAGGATGAGAGCAGTGGGCAGGTCAGGGGAGGGAGTGCAGACGGTGTGTCCAGAAGGAGCAGCAGTGGAGAGGTAGGAACAAAGAGCGAGGTGTTTGTTCCCCATGGTTGGTCTCAAGGTGTGAGGCCAGGAGGGGAGCTAGGAGGAATGGCAGGACTGATGGGACATGGCCTTGCATGCTGTGCTGAGCAGCTTGGCTCTGTCTTGCTCAGATTCTTTCCTGGGCAGGAAGAGCTTGATGTACACCTGATGGCTGCGTGGTTTTGCTTGGGGGAACTTGGGACCTTAGTCCTTGACCACTCTGCCCTTTCGCAGCAGGCCCCATCCTTCTCCTGGCTGCCACTACAGTTGGGAAGGGGCCATCAGGCTAAGGGCGGGAAGGGGCTCAGCCCACTGTGGCAGACAGGCTTCAGAGTTGGTGCCGGGCTGCTTCTCTGGCCTCCTCCACGCAGGCCTTGCCAAACTCCCGGGTGCCCAAGGAGCCCCCTTACCTTTGATGCTTGCCCCCACCCTCTTCCTTCTATCCCTCCCTCCTGGTCCAGTCATCTTCTGCAGCCCCTGCCACCCAGCTTGGGCTCTCCTGCGTGTGAGCTCTTCGTTCGTGCAGAGTGGCAGCAGCAGCCCTGGAGAAGGGTGTCGGGTAGGCTGTGGGCTGAGGTGCTAAGTGGTAGAGCAGGTGCAGTCCTTTGTGTGCCTTTCCTGGCTATTTTATTCCATGGTGGTGGCGGCCACACCTTCCTTCTATGGACTGCTTCCCCAGGCACCTGCACAGGCCTCGGAGGCGGGACAGCCTTGTGCTGCCATTCAGAGGGGGGCCCAGAGCCCCGCTTGCAACCCCTACTGTCTGCAGCCTCGGGGCCCCTCTGCTGTGTGCCAGCTGGGACACCCTGTTTCACAGGGGAGGAGACTGGGAAGGCTGTGGAGGCCTCAGCCGGCAGGGGCAGAGCCAACACCGGGCCCCATGCTTCCTACTGCTGGGTCTTTTGAGTACAGCACCTGTCTAGCAAGGGCACAGGTCTACTGTGCCTGTCACCTCACTAAGGCACCTCTTTTGCTGGTGGTGGACCACTACCGAGGTGACTTTGTTTTTCTTCTCACCCATAGGGAAAACTGAGGAGTCCTTGGAGAGCACAGAAGGCTTCCGGGCCACAGAGCAAGGCAGCCAGAAGCCTGCCGCAGACCCCCCAGCCTCTGCCTGCATTGCTGTCAAACCGGCAGCATCTGCACCTGCCCTGTGGGACGGGAGGAAGAGAGCTGACCCCCTGGGGGAGCCAGCAGCCTTTCCCCAGGGGTTGCCGGCCGGGGCAGAGGAGCAGCGCCAGTTCCTTACGGAGCAGTGCATCGCCTCCTTCCGCTTGTGCCTCAGCCGCTTCCCCCAGCACTATAAGAGCCTCTACCGACTGGCCTTCCTCTACACCTACAGCAAGACTCACCGGGTGAGTGAGCTGCCAGCCCGCTGGGGGCAGGAGAGGGGTTTGATTTTCCCAGGGCCCACGAGCATCTGAGTGTTGATGGAGCTGCTGAAGATCTTGGGTAGTGGTGCATGGAAGGGATGGGACAGAAGAGATGTAGGAGGCAGGTCCTTACAAGAGTGGTCCAGCTTTCCGGGTGAGAGCTGGTGAGGACTGTGGGTCGCAGCAAGGGATCAAGGGAGGAGTGGCTCCCGGGATCCCGAAGCAGGATCTCAGGCTCCAGTACTAGCTATGGGCTGAAGGATGAGGACCTACACACTCATCAGCTCTTGTCTGTGAGGGCCTGTGTAGTGACTCTTACTCCACTGTCCTCAGCATGGCCCCACATGCACATCCCCCAGATGCCTTACAGAACCCCCCCCCACCGCCCCCCGTCCCAGGGCCTTGCTGCAGGCTCCGTCTCCTCCAGACGCATCTTGCAGAGAGGCCTCCGTGCCATCATCCTGCCCCTGGGCTCGCCTCTCCAGTGCAGCTGCCAGAACCATCTTCACAGCCTCTGCTGCATGGGGGTTGGGTGCTGACAGCCTCCTCCAGCTCTTTTTGGAAAGCAGATGATGTAGCAATTCTTAACAGCTGTGCCCCAGGCTTAAGCGCTCTCGGGGGCTTCCCGGCCGGCTCGCTTCTGCTGGCATGGAGCATCTGTGCAGGGAGTGTGGCATGTGTGCTCTTCCACCCCCTTCTCACGCACCTGGGAGGCACTGGAGAAAGTGCCCTGGGCACAGCGTTGGCCCCCACCGAGCTACCTTCTAAGGGACAGGCAGATTTTAAAATACGCAAACAAGCAAATAAAGCTAGTCCCATTGTGACACATGCTACAAAGAAGATAATGGGGGACACACAGGAGTGGGGGTGCTGCTGCGGCGCCACAAAGGCACCCGCGAAGCTGAGACCTGTAGGGCGGCCATGGGCAGAGTGGGGGACAGTGGGCAGGTTGGAGGACAGGGAGAGAGCCCCGATCAGGCAAATTGCCTGGGCGTGTGGCCGTGCTGGCTGAGCCAAACTGGTGTGGGCGAGGGCCAGAGAGGGCCAGGGTGGCAGGGCAGGGGCAGCCCTTGGCGTCTGGCTGTAGTCTGTAATTTTGTCTGGCTCCCCTATTCAGTAAGGTCCAGGCTCAGAAACTTCTTCCTCCCAGAGGCTCCCCCCGCACACCCCGCTGACTCCTCCTCACCAGCCTCTGTGGGACCTTAAGACCCAGGAAGGGCAGTTGGCTGGAGGGATGGCTGCTGGCTTGGCGCTGGTTACATGACAGGAAGTTGTTACTTGACAAAATTCTGTTGGGGACTAGGCACAGGTAGGTGCCCTGTCACAGTCGTGACTGCCCAACATGCTCACGTAGTTTGGTTGATTTCTGTCAGAGCAGTGGTGTTGGTAGGCCTGGGGAACGAGGGGATCTCGTTCTGGGCTTTGTCTCTGCTTCAGGGCGTCTGGCTCTCCTGGCTGCCGCTGAACCCCCTGAGCCTAGTTCCCTCACTGCCCAGCCTACATTTTGCAGTGGACCTTACCTCTGGTGCCCTGGGCCTTCAGAATCCAGGTAGACCTGGGTTTTAATGAAACCCCCTCTGCAGCAGTCTTCGGGGGCCCGATGGCTGACACTGCCCCTGCCCCCCACCATGTTCCAGTACTGCTCTGGGAACTTTCCTTCTTCCCTCCTTTGAGAGCAGCAGAGTTCAGTGCGGGAGCTTCCTTATGAGTCTTGGTTGGAAGGGACACTAGCATCCATCATCTGGATCTCCACCGCCTTTGGTGTTCCCTTCTTCAGATGCTCCCCCCAGCTGTGCTCAGCTCTTAGCAGGACTTGGAGCTTCCTGTGCTGAGCCCAAACCTTCCCCACACTGCGGCAGATGCTTTGACAGAATTTGGGGTACAAGATGCCTCTTAGGGATCAGCCGCAATGGAAAGGAGGGGAAGATGCAGGGTTGGGTGGAGGGAGAGTTGAGTTGCAATGCAGGCCCCACAGAGCCCCCAGCACCCAGCTGCAGCCTCCGCATTAAATGGCTTTGAGCTCAAAGGAGCCGATGCATGTAAAGGGCCCCACCTGGTGCGAAGCATAGGCTGCCGTTTTCCCTGCCTGTCCCCTTGCTGGATGAGTTTTTTAAAAGTGAAAAATAGTATCTATGTCAAAATTAAAAATTAGGGGATATCCACAGTTCTACCACCCTAAAACAAAAGCTATTTTATATGTGTATTTTTTCCAGTTCTCATACACACACGCCGTTGACTGTCACTTTTGAAGCTCTTAGATACTTCAGATCCAGGAGGTGGGGGTCTTGTTCTCTCTCTACTTCACATCTGCATACCTGGCTTAGGGTCACACAGAGGAGAGGGACAGCCTGGCATGGGCTCAGGTAGCCTCACCCTGGCCCAGTTGCTCCTTTGCTCCCCCCGCCATTAGAGCATCTGTGCTCAGTTTGCCATTTTGTTGCCATTTCTGTGAATGTCCCCCAGGTCATCTTGGTCACCCTCGGATGGCCTGTGGGGTGGGTGGACCCCAGCTGATCCAGCCACCCCTGGTCGTGGGGACGGAGGCTACCTTTTCTTCCTTCCCGGAAAACCTTCCCACAGCCATCACACTCTGTTTCTGCTGGCTTTTCTGTTAGCTGCATTCCCAGGCTGGGCTCCTTGGCTTTCTGAGAGGGAATGCTGGTCGTGATTCTGAGAGAGACCCCCCCCTTACATGGCAGTTGCGTAGGTGCCAGGTGTGCCTCCGGAGCTCCAGGTCGCCACACCGCTACACCCTAGGCCCTGGTGTAGCCCGGGGGCTCCGCTGGCTCCTTTGCCTACTTGACTCAGAGACCTTCGCTGAGCAGCAGGTGTCACCCCAACTTGAAGGGCAGGTCGTTAACACCTCGCTGCACTGAGAGCCTGAGTTAAGGCTGACCTTGTCTGGGGCATGCCATTGTCCTGGGGGCTGGGCATGCTTCTGCCCAGGCCTGGGTGTCAGTTTGTCCCCAGATATGGGGGACACAACCAGTGCTCTCAGTGACTCATGTGGCACCATTAGCTGACAAGCAGTGACTGCCTTCCAAACACAGCTGTTGGTAACAGACACTTCCCGCTATGTATATTTAACAGCAGCACATTTCTTCATAAAATCCGCCTGTGGGCTTGGCAGTGGCATTTTCCTGTTGCCATCTCATGGCTCAGTGGCCACCTGGCTGGAACATCCATCATCCCTGCCTTCAGAGAGGCCCCAGGGGCTGTGCATGTTGCTCCAGATCCTTCGGGTCTTTCAAGTTTCCCCAGCTAAAGCTCTGTTCCTTAAGCTTCCCCACCCCAGGCCTCTACAGAGAAACTACCCTCAGGGTGCAGGGAACCACTTGCTTAGCTCTTGGCCGCAGGAATTCTGGGGGAGGGAGAGGGAATGTGGGCTCTGAATGTGGGCTCACCTGGGTTCAGATCCCAGCTGGCGGGGGAGGGGGGCAACATGACTCTTCTCTTGTGGTATTCGCACAGGATTATTGTAACAATGAGGTGAGGGGTTGGGGGCCTTCCCATTGAGCTTCTCACCAGGACCCCAGAGTCCATTTCCTCAGTGTCAGCATCTCCCATGGCTCCTAGCCCCTCTACTAGGTCTTCTGATGCCTGCCTAAGGCTGCGCTTCTGCCCAAGGTTGGCTTTGCTGCACACAGGCTGACCCCCCCGGGCCTCCCAAGGCAGGCCTCCTGCTAGCCTACATCGAGGGCCAGGGACACCTGAGGAAGCAGGGCTCCCTAATGCTCTCCACACCTTAGGGAAGATCACACATGCTGTTGGCCATAAGGGCCCTAAGTGTAGCTATTACATCACTTACAATCTCCAAGATTACAGTCTCCACCAGGATTTTGAGCCCTAGACTTTCAGTCGGTGCTCAGAAAAAAACTGTTTCTTGGAGTCCATGTGAGTGGCCCAGGAGAGAGGCCACATGGCATTGGGGCCTTTTATCATGAGGCTTCTGAAATTCACTAATGAGATCCAGAAAGAAGGCTGAGGCATGGGCACCCCTGTCCCAGTTCCTCCCACCCACTGCCTGTGGCTCAGCTGGGGAACTTCAGCACCTCCTGCTGCAAGGGGTCTAGGACAGAGTGGGTTATAAGATGGTTCCTAGAGCCAGATAGTCTTGAAAAAGAACAAACTTAGAGGACTCCTATTTCCCAATTTCAAAATTTACTGCAGATCTACAGTAATCAAAACCGTGGAATACTATTCAGCTTTAAAAGGAAGGAAATTCTGACATGTACTACAACGTGGATGAGCCTTGAGGACATTATGCTCAGTGAAATAAGCCAGGCACAAAAAAAAAAAAAAAAAAATCAAACACCCTATGATTCCACTTACATGAGGGATCTAAAGTAGTCAAAATCAGAGAGACAGAAAGTAGAATGGTGCTTGCTAGGGGCTGGGGGAGAGAATGGGAGTTATTTAATCAGTATAGAATTTCAGTAAATTCGTTTCATAAAATGAAAAAGTTCTAGGGGTCTGTTGCACAACAGTGTGAATATACTTAACACTACTGAACTGTACAGTTAAAAATGGGTAAGATGGTAAATTTTTATGTGTTTTGTACCACAGCTGAAAATAAACAGTTTGGTTGGTATTAGCCTAGGGGTAGATATATAGATAACAAAATAGAACTGGGAGCGCAGAAACAAAGGCATACATCTGTGATCAACTGATTTTTGACCATAGATGTGGTTTGACCAGGGAGTGGTTTCTCAGATAGGACACCCAAAAGCACAGGTGATAAAAATAAATGAATAATAATAATAAACCGGACCCCATCAAAATTTAAAAGCTGGCCTGGGCCAGCTCCTCGGTGTTGTTTCACATAGCACCCTGCCCAGCTGGGTGAGCGGGAAACCGAGGCTCGGAGGGGACAGCAGCTTGTCTCGAACCCCTTGGTGAGGATGTGGCAGCGCCTGGACCTCCTGGGGCTCAGATGTTTCCTTTGCCTCTACTTTCCAGGTGAAGTGCTTCAAAAGACATTA